CTTGTTTCTTTTTCAATCCGGGGCAGTTTGCATTCGGGAGCAAGGGTCCCATCCGGGCATCCGTCCAGGGGAGCGTTCACTTCACTTTCTGGAAAACCTGGACACAGACCTCGTCTTCAGCGGTCATGCGCTGGAGAAAGGAGGGCGAAAGAGGAGTTTAGGCTGGATCCCCTGCTTCTCTCCCTCCCCACCTGCCACCACTGCAGCCCTGCCTGCCCTCCAGGTGCCGGCTGGAGTCTTGCAAGGCCACATGCTGCTGCACACCCTTCCTGACCCTGCCAAAACCCCAGCTGCAGGGAGGGAAGGGCCATTGCCTTTGCTGACCTGTATTAAATTTTAAACCCTGCGGCGGATGTTTGTGTGAAGTGGTGGGTGCCCCCGAGGAGCCCGTTTTTTTCTGAGGAGCTGGAAGGAAGCTGCTCGGCTGGCTCAGAGCCCGCAGCACTCGCACTGTGTGTGTCCCCCGCCCACTGCGATTGGGATTTAGCAAGCTGTGCTGGACCCCTCCTCACCAGATGCAGCTTGTCCCCTTCCAGCCAGTGCCTCCAGCCTCGGTTCCTCTTCTCTCCTAGCTGCTCACACACCAGCTGATCCCCCTCCCAGGAGACAGTTGTCTGAAAAAAAAGGACAAGAGGGGAAGACACGGTCCCAAGACAAGCGGGTCCTGGAAATACAGGTTTCTGGCGATGACACTGGCTGTTTCTCTCGGACACATTTTCAAATGCAGTCCCTGATCTGGTGCCTCTTTGGTGGCTCCTTGGGGCTGATGCTCTTTGTGGGAGGTGAATGACCCTCCGGCTTCCAAGTGTGAGAGAGTACTGCCAAGTGGGCTGATGTACTGTCTTTTCAAGGCTTTGCTCCAGAGGATATACCCTCTGGGTCCCAAAATACTGGGTTTCTGACTGTTTGGTGCTCATCCCCTTTGCTGTGAGTGATTTACTCATAGAACCACTTATTCTGGGACCTGCAGGGGCATGCCAGCTCTGGGCTGGGCTCTCTCCTGCTTCATGAATCAAAAGCTGAGTGAGTCCCTGAACTTCTAGTGCACCCCAGTCCGCAGCCAGCCTGTGCTGCTTGGGCTTCTCACCTGGCACTTGCGTCCATCCACAGGTCCCAGGTCTTCCTCAAACTGGACTCCCAGGTCAAAATCCATAACGTAGTCCCGCAGGGAGGTGATTGTGCGGATGACCATATGATCTCCCGTGTGGATGATCTCTTTGTCAGGCTTCAGGAGGCAAACCAGTTTTCGCAGGACCACATTGATATCTGGAGGATGAGAGAGAGGGAAGACCTGTGGACGACCTGGGCCCCTCCTCTGGCAGCATCCCCGCGGAGCTCCTCCACTC